GGCTTGCTTAACATATCATTTTGAAGATTACTGGTAGTCTGAAAAGCTGTTCACTTGACCATCAATCTCTCTCAAACAAATATGTAGACCTTGTTTTTCTTTACGAATGCGCGTTCATAGCAATGCAATGATTTTCTACTTTGCGTCTGCAACCTTCAGTAGACATTATTTAGCAAAGTTGTACTTCCGTATTTTCTGGCTTGTGGGACGGGAAGGATTCGTTTAAGTGCAGATCACTCAATGGGTCCGGGTTGTTGTACGCTGTAGTCACCTCGTGAAGCACAGCGTAAGACGGGTAAAAGCACGTTTTAGAATAGCCATCTGTAGCACACTGAGTATGCATTCGTGCCAAGGAAAAGGCTTCTTCCTCTTGTTCTTAGAGAGCCTTGTTGATGATATGAAGCGTGGAGCGCTTCATTGAGAAATAGATAGAGAGAGGAGAAGAAAAACGAAATAGAAATAAATTCAAAAGAAGAGAGAAAAAAGACCAACGAAACTGGAAAAGAGAACAGGAAATAGATAGAAAACAGAAGAAAAACAAAAAAGGCTGCGCAGCTCCACACTTCCTATAGAAACTACAAGTGCGAAGCTGCATTAATATCACTTTTTTTTTTTCATGCTAAATGTCGCGATTGTTGTTTTGTTGTAGTTTTGCCTCCGTTCACTTGTGTGCAGTTGCTGTCGCTAAAATGTCGTTTACGATTATCGAAATCATCTTGCGTTGCATTTCAGAGCCTGTTTCGTCAAAGTAGCAAAAGCTTGGAATACTATATAAAAAGAAGAATTTTAAAACGTTACCCACATTCCGCTCTACGGATTACTTCTCGCAACCCTCATAACGGTGTCTAGTCACGCTGCGATCAAATAAACTGAAAGTGGATCCCACATTTCTGAGTAGTCCTCACTTCCTTTCTTGATGCTGGCTTGCTGGTCAGGACAGAAGCAACCGAAATCCTACTTAGAAGTGTGGCAGCTTGGGCTAGTTGGTATGGCATGACGATAGTTATAGCGCGAGAACAAAACGACGACACAGAGACAAGAAGGACACGAAAGACACGAGCGCTTGTGTCTTTCGTGTTCTTCTTGTCTCTGTGTCGTCGTTTTGTTCTCACGCTATAACTATCGAAATCCTACGTCACACAATATCAATTAGCTACTTTGCGAGCGCCATGACCGGGCCATTCATAATTGAAAAGTATATTTTTTCTTTGTTTACTATTTGTTCGGTGACGTTTCTATTCGTCACCATATGCAACAAACATTGATAGTGATGAAGTTTATTATAAATATGATTACCTATTCAGTTATTCGAAACAAACAAGGACAAAGTGCCAACGGCAGCGTAATATATCGAAGGCGTGTCGTTATTCATCCGATGTGCACCAAAACGCATTCGTAACTGCTAGAGGGTACAAAAATCTTTAAGTATGGCCGGATACATTCTTTTGGATGAAGAACTTCCATAAGAAAATAAGATAAACATTCTCTCAAAAACTATAAACACAGAGCCATATGTGTCACACATCTACTCAAGTGTATGCATAACTTATGATGCGTGTCACAGCACAGGCAGCCATTTTTCTTTTGGTGCCGACATTTAGGAGATGTCTGTTTGAAATGTGGGCATCATTCTTCGACACAGTTCGTCAATTTCTGTGTGCATTCATTAACTCACTCTTGTGTTTTCTGTTCATTTTTTTCTTCATCTCCTCCCCAGTTGAAAACGTCATCCAAATGAGAGGAATCAAACCATGCGATTTGAAGAATTGAACATGGAGCAAGAAAGAAAAAAACATGAAACGGGGTCACGAGAAACACGTGTTGTTAGATACCGGGGAAAAAATCGTCGCATCCCCCACATTCACATAGGACACACTGCACACAACTACAGTCCCACCACGTGGACCGCAACGATCGATGTATCCGATGCGCGGCAAGGCGTCTCCAAGGAGTCGTATACATCTCATCACAAAAGTACGGCTTAGGCCTGCATCCATCATCCGGCTGGAGTGGGATATAAAACAACGAATCGCTGGACTACTGAACATCTGGACTTGATCTTGCGGCGCAATTGCACTTCCAAGCCCTTCAACGCGGTTCCGAGTGTTTTCTTGAAAACACGAGTCCATTTTTTTTTCTTTCCCACAGCACCACAAATCTATGTGCAGTTTTCTGCCACTGTTTGCTGCACACAACTTTTATCTCACTTAGCAGCTACGCACTCGCGAAGGCATGTACCAAACGAAAGGTATCGCAGACCTGTGCATATTTGATCACTAGTAGCATACATCGACGTTGTGGGCCATTTTCTTTCTTCTTCAATTGTGAAGTGGCTTTTGTGCTCGCATTTTTTTTTCTATTTGTTCTGCGAGGAAACAGAAGTGGTGCGTTAGGGATGACTAGCAATAAAATAAATTGCTCATTCTCAACGCTTGAATGGAGAGAGAGAGAGCGAGAGAAAAAAATAAATTAAGAGAAAGGCTGGGAGGTCAACCAGGATTGTAGCATCCGGTTTGCTACCCTTCACTAAGCAGAGGTGTGAGCAAGATCAAGCATAAAGCGGAGACAAAAAGTAGGCGGGTTATATGATGGAGCCATCTGGGCTCATAATCACGAAAACATCTTACGCTAAAAACTTTCCTAATATTTCAGCCAATCATGACGCGGGACGTAGCTTTAGTGAAGCCGGCTATCCAATAGGAAAATGCACCTACGAAAGCGACGTTTTGTCGATTCAGCCTCTAACGTAATAAGCGTTTTGCCGAACACGACTGGAACCCCTTTGAAAATGTGAACATAATTTGCAAAGAGCACGTGAAGTGTAATTTTATTTTAATAAATGTGGATTTTGTTTGTTTTTACGAGTAACTAGTTTTGCGGTACGAGCGTAAATATCGCAACCCTAAAAGCTTGCCAAAGATGTGTGGTCCCTCTCGCTGCTGCGATGTTTAGCGATTTCACCGCCCTTAACGCAAACGACGATCGAAGAGAAAGTAAATAAAGAATAAACTTTCATGCTGCTCGCCTTTTCATATACATACCATACCTCATTTTGTTCATTTTACCAATGAGTATTTTTTCCCATCCGTTTGTTCATTGAATTATGTGTATAGATATTGTTTCTTCTGTTTCAACATGTTATTTTTTGGTTTTCTTGAAAGCTTTACTGACATCTCTCTCTTTAGAGATTATATGCTGGTTATACCATTCGCTTTCGATTGATTTATAGTGACTCACTACCTTTCGAGGGAAAAAAAAAACGTTCTTCACGAATACGAACACTTCGTTAGAAATTACGCAATTCTTTGGCTGCATTATCATTACTAAAATTGTACAACGTTCCTGACAAATAAACAGATGAATAAAACTAAAAACATTTTTTAGGCGTCCATTGGTGAATTTCGAGTAACGTACTCGCCTGCCAACTCATGAATGGTCTGTGTTTTTTTGGTTTTTTTTTTTTTTGCAGATACTTGCGTAAGCCACTCAATGCTTACATCCTCTTACTGTGCCGCCTTATATTGTTATTTAAATCACATTTGTGACACATTTGTGACACATTTGTGACACATTTGTATCTTATGGGCTTTGAGTACAGACCCCACAACAGCACTATTTGTATCCACGCTGTGTTGATGTAATGAAAAGATAAAGAAAAACATTGCTTTAATTAGTGAAAGAGTGAGTTGTTGCAATGTCTTGTTTAATTTTTTTAGAACTTGCACGTTTGTAATATGCGCAAACGCAAGTGTTATTCCACGCAGCACCTTATATTTATCTAACACTGTGTTGAAAAAAAAAATAAAATTGGCAGAACGAAGTGTGCGCCTATATTTACCTGTATTTGCGCTATGTGGATTGTTCTGACTGTTGTTGTTGTTGTCACTTGGATTTCTGTCACATCTCGTTTATCGTGTATTCGAACGAGTGGTATTGCATTGTCTTCATGGCATCCTGAAATAAACACTACGTTGTAGTCTGTTAATTAGAGTACACTTCCGTTTCTTGTTACCTTGTATGTACTGCGCATATGTTTATGTCTTCCTTGTTACGGAGGACAGGAGTTAAATACAGCAGCAAAGATAAACTTGGGAGGACAGTACTTTGTCCGGAATGAAGAAAATATTATAATTAGTCTGATAGTAATACATGCTCACTCTCCAAATGAGGGTTTTTTTTTTCTAAAAGAGCCAAATGCAGAAACCGAAACTAGGCTAAATTTTTGTGGAACGTAAAGCATGCCCAGGTATCCTTAACTTCTAGAACAGTTATAATTAAAATGAGGCAATTTTTATTCTAACATGAGCTCAAAGTTGCAGTTTGTAATAAAAAATGAGCACTCCAACTGTTTCGATCAAAGTGAGCCACATTTATTAAGCCAGCACTGCGCCAACAAACATGATCAAAAGAACACACATGCATCCCACCCGAAATATTTCATTTGTGTCTTAGTTGCTTTTGTAATCGTGTTTACGTTCCACAATTAAGTTTGCTAGCGGGAGTTGGCACTTTCTGAAGGAAATGATGTTTAATGACAAAACTTCATTGTAAAGAGTAAGAGGTGGACTTGCCTGCTTCTTTTTGCATATTAGCGATTCTTTTCGACTTTAGCGCAACAATATCTTGTCCTCCATTCACTTCAACACGGTATATATGAAATAAAACAGGCATGAAATAAAGACATTGGGCGTCTACCTATTCCCTAAAGAGGAAGAAGTGGTGGGAAATTACGCTGAATAAAACTAGCTGGAGCACTTTTCAAGGCCTTCAATAGATGCCGGAAACAAGAAAACGCTGATGACAGTCCAGAATAGTGCGCTTTTGCCACGAAGAACCACTCTCTCTTCAAGTCTAGCGATTGCATTACGCCCATGCCTCGAAGCACTTCACCGGCGGAAGCACAAGTATGGTGTCAGTTGTATCGCAAAATATTGTTATACCATACATTCGAACCGTTTTACACTTATTTTACGAGCTAATTCATGCCGAAGTGAAATGTTTCGATCTATGTGAGTCAAATACAAATTTACTCTCCAATACTGACGATACTCGGCTATATAGATTTTAGCCACAATATAGATTCGTGGTATTTAGGGTAGAGGAACATACTGGAAAAGAGTTGTTTGAGCAGGCCCAGCCATATTATCGGGAGGAAAAAAGTGCATTTTTCTCAGTTTCATATAAAGTGTATTAGGCTCATTTAGAAAAAAAAAAAACGCCTCAAATGTTACCATCGCGCACTGGGCAGAATGAGGAAAGGGAAAACCACAAAACAGTACCTATTCAGCTAATATTTTTTATCAGGATTTGTGGACATTTGCACGTAGGGCCATTTCTCGTCAGCGACAGCAACGGCCTGCTGTAATTGAATGGAAAATAAGGGGAAAATTATATCTGACGAAAAAAATCTAGTTATCAAAAAGGACTCCAGATTCTACATAGCAGAGACTTAATCAAACATTCTGTTAAGATTAAAGTGTCACACGCCATTCCCAGAGTGTTTCATATTTTACTAGGGGGCCCTATGAATTTCCGATTGGTGGTGTTCAATTGTCTCGAGAAGCCACTCGTGTTGTCGCACGTTACTGAAATTTCACCAAAGAGGTCTGTTGATCCCGTAGTCGTTCTTGATAATTGGCTTATTTTTTTAAAAAAAGATTGCTTTTTCGCCTATATCCCTTTCAGTTATGGCAAGACGCGACTGTTGCCTCCGAAAGATGGCACCACGTAAAGATGCCTCCAAATCATGGTAATGAGAGCTAGGGACTACGTCAATGAAGAAAACTTCAAATATATTAAAAAAAACTACCTAGTTATACAGTGTTATACAGGACGTTATTTTTGGAACACATGTCTACGTAAATATGCTCTACATTAGTTCTCCAACCCGTAGTAGTGATGTAGTGCTCATGGAGATTGACTGTTGACTAGAAGGTCGCAGGGTCGAATCCCGGTCGCAGGGCCCGCAGTTCGATGGAGGTGAAATAGTGAAGCGTCGTATACGTAGATATAGACGATCAAATTGTCCAGAGAACACCACTACGGCGTCCCTCAAAATCACATCGAGGTTTTGGAACGTGAAACCCCGGCCATTATATTTGTTTCTCGCTTTTCAACGCCATCTTGTGGCGTCTGGTAAACTCCCTGCGCAATCTAATCGGCGAAAGGAGGCTACACTTGCATACATTGCGAAATCACTCGAAAATATTAGTGATAGAAATATCATACTCTGATTATATATTGCTGATCTATAGGTGTCCACGAGTTATTCTTGTTGAGGCCAACATCAACTGGTCAATAATGACAGGAATAACCACCCGAGCTATTCGTACAGATGGTTAACCAGCGAGAGCTGCAACGCGTGGCTCCGGTGTTTATCACTACATAGGCTGATCCCTGTGGTGCGTTTAAGTATTGGTTACGTGTGTGCAGAAATCTTAGTTGCTGTTCGCCACCCATTTTCAGTGGACCGCAGGTGAGTAGTGAGAGATCACCAACTTCACTGAGAAATACGTTGTTCGCCTATTCATCGTGGTGGACTTGGCGAGATGGGCCAAGAAATGAATGGTTTTATAAAACATGAAATTTTGGAGTTATCGTGGTTATAGAATAAACAGATTAGAGATTACATAAAAATTTACGGGTGCTCAATCTAATTATTGGATATATCTATACGAACTACCAAAAAGGTTATATATAGTATATATATATATAATGTTGTAGACACATAAGGATACAAAATTTACGGCATTCCAAAAGACAAAAATGACAGCCCACCTTCAGAATTCCTCACTGTTATCGAACCAGTGGTCAGAAGTGGAGCTCACCCAATTTGTGTGACACGTACGCGCTAACAGTTCTTGCGCACATAGTAAGGACGAATTGCGGTTTACCCAAGCCATATACAGATTCACTGTAATTATTGTGGCGAAAGCCTCAGATAAGCCTCATCAAGCGTGAAAATGGACCTCCGCCATCGGTGGTCCCAACACGGGCGATGTGAGAACGATTCCGCGATGATGTCACCACATTGATTGATTGATTCGTGGGGTTTAACGTCCCAAAACCACTATTTGATTATGAGAGACGCCGTAGTGGAGGTCTCCGGAAATTTTGACCGCCTGGGGTTCTTTAACGTGCACCCAAATCTGAGTACACGGGCCTACAACATTTCCGCCTCCATCGGAAATGCAGCCGCCACAGCCGGGATTTGATCCCACGACCTGCGGGTCAGCAGCCGAGTACCTTAGCCACTAGACCACCGTGGCGGGGCATGATGTCACCACATGACGTCACATATAAACTAAATTTGTGACATCACAATGACTTCATCATACGACATCGTCGTTTGCATGGAGGCAATGCAAAACAAGGTGAGTTTAGGCAAGTGAGGGGGCATGGCGGCGAGGAAATCATGCGTTGTGTTTGTATACTAGGTTTATTTCGGAGGGGGGGGGGGCAGGGAGGGAAAATGGGGGGAGGGTGTTCCAGCACTCCCATGCCCCTCGCCGAAAAGCCACACAATACAACACGAGCGCATGGTTCTTCCTTCGTTCGATGTCTGTTTCCGCGCGCCCAGTGCGCTGATGGAATATGAATTACCATCTATCCCACCTTTAGATCATATTGCAATGTATATTTTTGCTATTGTGGTGACATCGGCTCCAGAAAATTTCCCTAAACTTGATACATTGAGTCTATGGCCCCGTGAGAGAACAATATTCGTCCTCTTTACGATTTGTAACTACAAATTTTCTAGCAGACGCCGTCAAAGTCTACGACGCCACGGGGTGTTTGGTGCGGGAGTTTTAAGATGGCTTAGCTAGCCGCATTTCTTATTTTTTAGCGTTTTATTGTTTACCAAACGTCTTCTTGTGGTATATAATAAGGATTTTGTTAGTGTCATGAAAATTTAACTTACTGGTGTACAAAAAATTATTGTTGTCCCATTAAGTGGCAATGTTCGATGCAGCAAAGTGAGAAAAAAAAAGAACTCGCTTCGAGTGTCCAAATTGTGAGTTCACTTCGTAAAAGTCAGACTTCCAGCCTTGGAACTGTAGTCCGTGCCGATTTTCATGTAAATTGTGGAGCTTGTGTGAGAACGTCCTCATATACGCATCGGCATATGATTAATGACCTAAATAAAAGGCAAATTTTGTACGGCGCGAAATGTCTATAGTGATGACACTTTCTCTGCGTGTATACCGAACACCTAACACGCTCGAGATTACCTCAGATCTCATCATTATTACTCAGGCTTGATATGACAAGTCACGACAGATTTATTTTGCGTGGAAGACTTCGAGGACCATCAAGACTCGTACGACTGCAACGGATGCAAATATAAGCAGAGGTCCCCACGAATCCCGGCCATTGACGTGCATTGACATCACAAAGTACACATGCCTCCTCCGCCTTCATCGGAACGCGACCACCACAGCCGCAATCGAACCCGCGACCTTAGGTCAGCAGCCGAGGAACGTAAATGTTGTTACCACTGCGTTGAACTGAGAAGGTGAAACTTCGAAACCGGGATACGTTTCAGCTTGCATGTGGAAGTCTTGCTCGAATTCCCTCGCAAATATATGTGTGCCTTCAACATGAGACGTTTGCCTCATGTCAGACACATTCCGCACACTGAGTTCAGTAGTTTCTATAGCACGCATTTCAATGAGATAGCGTTAAAGAGCTCGTTTCGCAGAAATTCAGGCGTCGGCGTCTTTGTGAGCGAGAAATCGACCGTCTTTGCGTGATTGAAAATTCGGGAAACGGATGCAAATAAAATAAACAATTTTGAAAAATTGTGGGTGTAAGTATGGGATATAACTCGGGCAGTTTGCGTGGAAAGCGAGCTTTGTACCACACAGCCACGCCTCTATTTCAGGGGCGAAGCTCTTTAATGCGTGGATCTGCACATTCTCCGAGGTATGTAGTTGTAGTATAGTTGGTAGGCACCTTCAATTTAGTTCTTGCAGTGTTCGCTAGATGG